TAAGAAAGAGAGGATTTGGAAAAAGGGCCAAAATCAAAGGGCCCTAAGATTTTGATTTCACAAAATAGCAACTTGCGATTTACCTTTTCTCCAGTAGGACCAGCAGGACCAGAAGGGCCCAAGGGACCAGGAAGACCCTGCCAATGAACACAAGATGGTCATGTTGAGAAGGATAATCTACAAGAATCTCCAGTTAGAGCAGATGAACAAAACCAGAGAGACTTTTGTTAGAGCTTGCCTATTTTTACAAATCATAATTTTCAATAAGTGACATAATTTTTAAATTTTCAATTTTTCTGTCTAACACCATACCATGTTTACCAGATTTTTCTCTACAAACACTTTAGTCTTCTTCATCCAACTCAATTCACATACTCAGAAAACTGTCTTCAAAGCATTAGTGCTAGAGTAACGCTATGCTTCAACCAGGTCTCTCCTTACTAATATCTCTAATTCTTTGCTAATAACTCTAATGAATTGTAAGTAACATTAAAATGAGGATTTCATTATTTTACAATATTTCTTACATTGTTATATAATAGAGGACAGCACTGTATTATTTTTACAAGTGAAATTGTGCCAAAACATTTTCTTTTCTGCATTCTTTTTGAGTGAAAAGGAATGTCACCACCCAGCTGCACTACATTGGTTAAGCAGGTAATTTGCATCCATCTATTCTAACTGTCCTTGGAACTGCAAGTGTGCTGTCTAATTATAAGGACCTTAGTTGTTAAACATCAATTCTTCCAAGAGATGGACCAGTGTTTTGGTGCGAACCATTCTTCCTGACATTACACATTCAGCTTCTGTATTGATGGATACATGCATGATGATTCCCTGAGCACCGGTTTTCCAACTCCTGAAACCCAGTACCTTGAGAAACTCTTACTACAGCTTTGCCTACTGCAGCTTTTACTTGGTGGTGTGTTCATTGGCATTTAACAGAAATGAAAATTGGACATAAAAAGATGAGGAAAATGATGAGAGACCACACTCCGGAAAGCACGGGCTCATTAGGTTTGGGTTTTATTTCATTCTTTCAGCAGTAACTATATTTTTTGCCTTTCAGAAGTTCAGGAGAGGCACAATAACTCTCCACATTTGAGCTACATCCTACCTCAGCGCCATCATGCTCTAAGTGCTGACCACTAAGGAAACATGATTAATTTTTTTTGAGAAAATCATGCTCTCACTTACTCTTGCTCCGTCATTTCCAGCTGTGCCCTCAGCACCTTTCTCTCCCATGCCACCCTGGGAAAACACAAGAGATACCATTTATTCATTCAGTTGTCTCTTACACTTACCAGGAAGCGCCCTGCAGGCCAGGGTTTTTCTTCTTACCTGTATCTCCTTTAACTACAGTCAGAACCTGATGGGCATTGTCTCAATAAATGTTTATTACAAGAATGGATGAATACAAGAATGAACAAATGAATGAAGGGATGGACGGATCATGACCAGGTTGGCAGAGGAAAGAAAGCCTCGTTCAAGAAACCACTCTCAGTAGAAAGTCTGCAGAGGGAACTTGAGAACAATAGAGGAATAACTCAGCAAACAGACTTACTCTGTCACCCTTGGGGCCTGGAGTGCCTGCAATGCCTCTCTCTCCGGGCATGCCTTGGAGACCGGGGGGGCCTGTGTCTCCCACTGTCCCCGTGGGACCGGGACTGCCCTAAAATGAACAAACATCAGTGACCACACCAACACAGTAGGACTGGCCTATGTGAAACTGCTGCTTAATGAACCAGGTACAATTGAGTCAAAAAACTATCTGTGTCTCAGAATGGGTAATAACGTGTTCCAGATCATAATCATGTTCAAAGAAGAGACTTCTTTTCAGGTCATTCTTCCATCACAAAGACATAAAAACACCCACGAAAGCACTTATTGAATATTTGTTGAATAAAAATGTGATACAATCAACTTATCTTGAAAAAACCAAGAGACATGCATTGTGACAGCAGCCCCCCGCCCATGGCAACAGCGTAAGAGCAGCTGAGTGCACAAGGGTCTCTTACCTTTGGGCCGTCGGGACCATGTCCTCCAGCCATGCCCTTCTCGCCAGGGAGCCCAGTGATTCCTGGTTCTCCTCTCTCTCCAGGGTTTCCTCTTTCTCCCTAGCATGACATCAGAGCATCAGTCACAGTGCTTGATCTAAAGGTGGGTTAAAAGTGTTCCTGTAAAAAGGCTACTAGTAGAGAAAACTTTGGAAAGGAGCGCCTATTGGCTCACATTTTCTACTTCAGCTCTAAGAAATGAGAGAGTATTTTCGTTTCACCTATTTCTCATAAAGTTGATTTTCATCTAGTAAAAGAATCTAATCATTAAAAAAGCCTGTTTTAATAAAAGTTACATTTGCAAACTGAACTCAATTGTAAACAAAATTAATCATGAAACAGAAAGCACTTACTCGTGGTCCTAAGGGACCAACAGCGCCAGGATCTCCAGGAACACCCTATAAATACAATTTTAAAAGAAAGGAGAAAAGCATTGAGCTCGTTCTTAGGTATTTATTAGAAATCTTTCCAAACCACACACCTAATTTATTTCATTGTGCTATTATAAGGCTGAATAGTCCACAATAGTGAAGAATGAAAAATACGTATATTTTTCTAAATGAGACAATAACACACCTGTTGGTTAGAAACAGCTTTCCAGAAAATATACATTCCACCTGAGTATTTGGGGCTTTTTCACAATGAGAAAGTATAAAATATTTTTACACAAAGGTAGCACATTTTCTTCTTTTTAGAGACAGCAGAATACATTCCAAGTGTCTCTTATTTCCTAATGGACCATGAAGAAGTTTGCACAGAGAAAAGTAATATCAATAGCAATGGAGAGGGGCTGGTGAGATGGCTCAGTGGTCTAAAGCACCTACTTAGAACAAGCTTAGCAAA